GAACCCTTCTGCTACGCATTCGGGAAAAACCAATACAAAGTTGAAGTCTTGGGGCTGCGCAGTGCATCTGCGGCAATGCAGAAGACGTGCGGGGGCAGGGCCTCAGCATGCGCCAGCATCCTTCCCGCTGGAGCAGTTTCCTCCACGGCTTGGATCCATGCCTGTGGCTCAGAAGCGAACCTGGCAAGCAGTCAAGAGCGAGGAGCACGTCCAAGCTACGGCCAATAAATCCCAAAAGCCTGTACTTGTCAAGCATCTCCGAGGAGTAGAGAGGCAGAGCCTGCACAAGAGAAGTTCGAAGTTCACACGTCCGTCCCTTCCAGGTGCCCACCTGGAACGGGTTCACTGCCAGGAGAATGCGGGAGACCCACGTGTAGATGACTTGCTTCTTGAACCTCGCCTGGTAACTGAGGGATTGCGAACACTCTTCCAACCCTGCAGCGGTTCCATGCAAAATAATCAGGAGCTGGCCCTGACGGTCTGCAGCAGCGCCGCTTTCGTGACGGTGTCCAGTAGGCAGACATTGTCGACGCCAATCACCTCTGAACGCCCGTCAAGGAGCTTCCATGGAAACACCGCCCTCTCTGGCCAAAACAAACCTACAGATTGTGCCAGCATACTCGCAGCATAATCAGACCCCGAACTTGCTCGAAACAACAGAAGACACGAAGTCCAAGCGCACCGGAGAACGCCGGGACCTCCAAAAGGTCCAAGCCCAAAGAAGGTGACCACAGCTCTGCATTTGAAAAAGGTTTGACGTGGGGATCTTGGCCATGAGTTTGCCGGCTTTTACCGAACGCATAGTCCGGAGCCTCTTCTAAACAGATGTTTCGGCATGGTGCTGTGTACCGGCGCTGCATACCAGAGCGAGCAATCGAAGGAGACAGTAGCTCGTGGCAACCATGGTTCGTGCGATACAGTTCGCGATGATCCTACGCTCGCACAGAATCTCGAGACTCTTTCAATCACCTGGAAGAAAGATGCGTGGCTCTCGCACTGTGGCATCGGACCTGCTGAGGCTGCACTTCTTCCAGATCGTCGATCCCCGCCGTCCCGGCTTCAAACGCCTGCATGGGACACGACAAGCGAACTCAGCTCGACGGATCCCGAATCCATTGAGCACCGCTGCACTGAGATAGGCCGTGCATCAGACAGAAGACCACAAAAGTGGTTGCTGGGTTTCAGAACATGATCTTTGATCTGTGTGTCATATGAAGGGCCCAGGGCCCACGTCGTTGGACCGCCACATGGGATTAAAGTTCTCCTCCTCCCCATTCCTCTTCCTCCTCCTTTCACTGCAACACGAGCCCAACGACAGGGTCATGAGCGCTAGAGCCGTAAAAGGGGAGGGCGATTCAGGTTTGTCTGGGGAAGAATAGCAACTGTAGTCACAGTGCGATCAATCAGGCCATGTCAGAAGTGCATGCTCGCCGACGCCTCACCGTCCTCTGTGGCGAACCTGATTATGCCAAAGGGCGTGCCGACCATCTTGCATGCGCATGACAATATGACGAAATGGGGGGAAGGCGTTGCAATGCCGTCGATGACGTCATGAAGCCAGCACGGGGCCCACACCTGGATGGACGCTGAGCCCCTTCATCATGCTTTGCTGTCTATCACGCTTCTTCCGTAGAATCTACACTGTAGGGTGCGAAAGCTGTTGGAAATTTTGTTGGTGACTGTTCGTCCTGCTGTACTCTGGTTGTGACCTTGTTTCTTTCGTTCGTTCTTCGTTTCAGGGCCTTTCATGCTTCTCATTTCTCTAACTCTAAACTTCCAAAACCCTCTGCCAAAGTACACTGGCCAGCCAATGCCCCATGCTCATCTAAGGCGGCAACTCAGTGTTGCTCACAATTATTACGTATTTTCTGGGCTTTTAAAAGCACGATGAGAATCCGCCAGCAACTCAGCAGCACGTCTTGCCCAGGAATGGCGCTTTCTCTGACAAGACTTGGTGCAGGCTTGGCGGCTAGACAAGATTCCCTGTCTTGAGATCAGCTGAACTTTGTCGGATGTTGATTTCGGCAATTCGGCGTGTCGAATCAATTTGAGGGTTTGGCTTTGCAGGTTTGCTGAGAAGTTCTCCGAATCTGTCTTTGACTTGCCTTCTGCACTTGTGCAAAGCCGAGCAGCAGCTAAGCTGTAAGTTCGGGACCAGCTCTGGGTGTGGAACCCAAAGACGGCGCATGTACCTCACGAAGCTTATAATTGTTCGTGCTGATGCAGTACTGCTGATGTGCTGCTTTGATCTCTGAGGTCCCGGCAGGCGGGCGACTCAAGCAGATAACATCGTCACAACCAAAGCCGGGGTGACATGGCGACGGTGTTCTTGGCGAGGGAAACAGACGGACGCAGCCCAAAGCAGTATGTTCGGAGTTGCTCGAAACTTAAATTCCTCGCTTGCTCCTTCCTCGAGCTTGTTGTATTGTCCTTGGTCTGATGGCTTCCTGCGGCGCTGACTTCGGTCCTGCCTCCCATGCGCGGGCACATGTTGCTGTCGGTGCATCTAATCTGGAAGAAAGGCTCATGCGGCAAATCCACTCCCGGGCCAAAATCAGTAGTGCACTCTTCGCCTTGGACACGCCTGCCCATTCGGTGAATGCTATGCACCTAAAGGCAGCAGGACTGATCCAAGGTCCAAGCTCCATCCAAGTCTCTGAAACCGGCTGCGCAGTCTGTTAAAGATTCAGGAACCCTTATGGGTGCTCCCTAAGTCAACGGAATCAGTGAAGCCGATAAAGCCAATGAGTGCCAATTCTGCAAGTCGCACCATGCACCGTCTCAGATCTCGCCACTGCCGATTTTGTAGCACGATCACTGAATGTCAGGTGGCAGATACATGCGTATGGATAATCAGAGCGGCATTCATCTCAGCTGCAATAGGCATACCGACCGCGCTGACCATACCTGACCGTAAAATACAGTCGGAAGTATACACTACGGCACTTCCTGATCGCCCACGGTGTTATCACTTTTTTCGACCCAGGGCGCATGGCAGCCTTGAATCCGCATGCAAACGGTACAAATTATGATTAATGGAAAACGACTGCATGCAGCACGACAGGTCCTGAAAAGCGCTTAGTGTCGCAGACACTTCTAAGTTGTTTTTGTTCAGTTAAAGACCTGGGGCTGCATGCGGTCACAAGCTTTATTTAAAAGGCTCACTTCTGTGAGAGGAGTCCTTGCAAAGGGGTAGGCAGCTGGCAGCTCCCGTGGCCCCAGCTCACCGTCAAAAGCTTGCCCAAAAATCCTACGCATGCGAAGCCGTTGGCTTCGTCTCAACACGATCCAAGAGCCTTCTGCTCGTCAGGCAGCAACTCTGCAAAGCGAATGCGGTTGAGTCTAGTAGCTCGCTTAGAATCCGAGGTACCTGTTCGATCACCGTCAGCGACTCCCTGTGACTTTCTGATTGGCGGACAAGCCGTCTGAGTATCTCTGAGTAGGTAATCTTCATTCGCTGCACAATCGCCCTTGGCCAAATTTCCGAAGGGCAGAGACTAAACTAAAAAATCTTGGCCGTACTTGGCAAGATCAGCTCTCTGCTTCCTTGCCAAGTGATGTGCCTGGCCTGCAGAGGGGAGAGGAGCGGAAGCAAGGCATTTCAGTCCGACGCGAGACATCGCCGAGGCCCTAGCTCCTCCGCCGGCTTTGAGACCTCCTCCTGCAGCTTCTCCCACCTGATAGTGATGCATGCTTTGGGCAGATCGGCCATGTGCCAAGCTGCCGGCCATTCATCTTCGTCTTCGATGAATACCTGGGAGGATATCTTCTAACCTTGTCATTACCGGGCAAACCCACACGTCGCAGCAGGGGCACGTCCCCGCGCTTACGCGCAAGCTCTTTTTGACGCTTGATCTTCTTCAACTCCTGCAACGCAGCACTCGCAGTAGGCGGGTTTCAAGCCAGTGTGTCGTGACCGCAAGCGGGTTGAAATCATTGCGAACCAGTACAATAAATAACAGATAATAACAACCATTGAACTACAACATTGACATTGTCTGTGAGAGAAGCGTAGCACTATGGGAAAGCTCTGGCATGTGCCCAGGGTCTGTAAGAACGCCTGTGAGAGAGCTGCGAGAAACCCGTGAATCTGCGAGAAAGCGGTCACAACCTGCAAAAAAAAAGCGGTGGCAGCCGCCTTCTCTTGGCCCTCCACAGGTTTGTCACAGATTTCTCTCAAGCCCCTTCACGGACCTCTGCATACCCCTACAGGCTCGCTCACAGAAGTCTCACAGAAATACTTAAATTAGTTTATTCCAATGCAGTCATTTCAAGAGCAGAGGCTCATAAAACCAGTCTATTTCAGATCACATCGGTCTCTCCTTCTCGGTGTGGTTCTGCTTCTTGATCTTGTGAACATTGCCGAACTCATCTGTGTACCTCGACAGAATCATGTTCGCACAGTGGCGTGTTCAGCTAAGCTTCCATCAGATGCAAACAAGATGCTCGTCCGCTATGGTTTTTCCTTCCAACCTACAGTACGACAAGGTACGTCCCACCAGCTCACTTATGATCCGCAGAAACACTCTTCTGGACCACTCAGCAGTCCACGCCACGTCAGCTTTGCTGAGCTGTCCTTCTCTAGTGAGTCGCCCGGCCTTTCCGCGTTGTGAAACACTCAGACCACTCAGATCAAGTCATGTGTGGCGAATCCGGCTGAGCCGGGCAGTGGAAACGTCAAGCTCACGGCATCCATGAGCCATCTCTCGTCACAAACCGCGTGGCAGAATCTGGCACGGTGCTCGACAAGTCGCACCAACAACAAATCTTGATGCCATGCTTACAGAAATCCTGGAAGTTGAGGGTCTCACTCTCGATTGTGAGAGATGACAATGACCTGGAGCTTGGCATGAATCATGGGCTTGATGGGAAGCAATGGCCGCTGCAAGGCGGACATGAACGTCTCACGCTTTCTGTAGGGCCGCCACGCCACCTCCAAACTCCTTGAGGCCTCACAGGATCTCAGGGCGGTCTCTCTTCGCGGCACGGCCAAAAGACTTCTTCCAGTTCGGCTCCTCGCCTGCTGCAAGGGCCCCAAGGGACTCGCGGTCCAGATAGTTCGTCGGCCTCAGAACTGCTCTCTCTCGCAGCCTTTGCGGAGAGGCGCGCGGTGCCCTTTCTTTGGGGGCTCCGGGCTCGTCGAGGATCAGTAGGTGTGGGGATAGCCTTGGCCGAGCCCAGGCACACGTTTTATGGGCGAGGCCTTGAAATTGGGGCCGGGGGACCACATGGCTGCTCCAAGGACGACCTTCACCTTTTGACCGCCAGACAAGATGCCCAGCCTGGCCGCACAAGACCGGGAGATGCTTGGGGGGACTCTGGCCGCCTCGGGCCTTGTGTGGGAGGCGAGGTTCGAGTCCAGGCCGAAGCCGGCCAGATGCTCCTCCACCTTTCAAAAAACCCGCCAAAGGGAGTTTCCGAAAATAAGGGGTACCTTATTTTGGGGTCCTTATAATAGGGATCCTACTATTTAGGGTACTTTTTTAGGGTCCCCTATTTCCGGAAACCCCCAAATCAGAGCTACTCCCTCGTTGTGATTCGCCCTGCTGCGTGCACCTGCGGTTGCGTCAGGGGCCGCGAGACGAGGCCGTGTGCAGCTGCCTGCCTCTCATCCTGGCCGCAGGTTCGGGCTGCAGCATGACCCTACCTTCACCTACCAAAACCTACTTTTTTGTAGGGTCCCTATAAATTCCATAATAGGGTTTATAATAAGAACCTACGAAAAACTAGGTTTTGGTAGGTTAAGGTAGGTTATAACATGTTGGAACCCTCTGATGCAGCTTCAGGACCGCACCTCGCGCTGGATGAGACGCAAGTGGCCCATCTCCAGCAAGATCTCGCGAGGGACCTGGAAATGGGCAATTAGCCCTTTGCATGGTTTTCCGCCGCACTGTGGGTCGCGCCCACATGTTGCTTTCGGAACTGAAGCCGTGCCACTTGACCTCTGGCACATCACAAACGGTGTCGACACTTCACCACCATTCACCGCGGTGCCCGTTTGAAACGATAGGCCGATAGGCGCTTCTCCAAGGCGGTGGCAGAGTACTCGTACTTCTCATCGCCTGAGCCCGCCTTCAACTTCGACCTGGGGGAGTTCGCCCGGATCTTCCGCGCCCGGATCCGTCCGAGTTCGAAGGCGTTACTAAGGACTCCGCTTCTTCCTTCCGAGGATCAACTCCGGGCTCACGGCCTTGGCTTCCTCCTGACAAGGCCCCGCGACAGCTACGACCCTCGCCACTTGCTCATACTAATAATAATAACAATAAGAATAATAATGATAATGATAATCATAATAATAGTAATGGTAATGAAAATATTAATTTATTATTATTAGTATGAATAGACAAATACTTCTTCATCGTCACCCGAAGTCTCTGCTTCTGGCTACTGCAAGCAGAGGGCACCCCAACTCCTTGGCGTTGGTACACTTGCAGAGGACACCAGCTTCGTTCAGCCTCGGGAGCGCCCCAGCCTACGAGTGGACCTGAGCCTAAGGAAATTATGCCAAATTCTGGGAGGTCCTGGAAGCCCTTCTTTAAGCAGTCATCCCTTCTTGTGTGAGCTGTCTAGCATCATCAGCACATGGCATCTTCCGGCGAGCTTTGCCGAAATGGCCCCCAAATCTAGAAGGATGCCTCGCTCGGCTTAACTGCAATGATCGCTGCATGTTACTTGCATAACCTTCGATTGGGAAGAAAGCTTTCTCCTAGCTGTTTTTAACTGAAGCCTTGCATGGAACGAGTATGGAGCATCGCGAGTGATGTCAGGAGGCTGACGAAGGGTCCAGTGGCGACGTGCACTACCAGTCGGAGTGCAAAAATCCAGGTCGCGTGGCAATGCTTGGCAAATGAGAAGGGGCCCGAGCCAGTATTTCTTCTTCTCGCCACTGACTTCCTCACAAAGTCAATGAGATTTGGTGCATCGTGGGCTGGCTGGCGTGGAGCTGTGATCGTGTGCCGCTCCTCTGATCGATAGTTGAGTGCTTCACGATCTTCGCCACCAGCAAAGCGCCACAGCAAATACCTTTCCAAAAAAAGACTCTTCTGCTGCACAGGCTTGTCACGGTGCCGACAGCGCTTCCGACGAAAAACTAGGCCCCAAGCTGCGTTGGGGTAATGTCCAAATGCTGCTCCTGAGGGATCCCGTCGCAACGGCCGCACTTTTCTTGAAGCTGGCATGCTGAGGCATGCTGAGGCTTGCTGGGTGCCACGCGACGTGATGGAAAGCATGCTGGGCAACGTAGGATATTCGCACCTATCTCAGCATGATCTGACACGAGTTGCCAAGCCAGCTGGTGCTCAGCAGCCAACATTCGGATGTTTCCATACGATGCTCTTTCCCGACACTGGCAGCTCGCCGACCAAGGCCTGGCCAGAGGCGCTCCACTGCCAGGCACCGCGAGCTCCCAGTCGAGCTCGCCTTGATCATGGTGGACTTCCCCGCGCCGTTGGGCCCAATCACGGCCACGCGACCTTCGGCCGAGCTCTTATAAGGCGTAAGTCTACCCTCTCTCCGTCTCTGAAATGGCCCGCGCTTAGAAGAGACACCTCGATGCTGACGTTGAAGAGGGTCGGCCTTGGCTTCAGACTGAGCCGAGAAGCAGTGCCGCGGGCTGACATGCGGCGACTAAGAGAAAAGCGTCTGGTTGCCAGGATATGTGTAAGTCACCTGAATCTCCCAAAGACCATGAAGAGAGCATGACTGCCGATCGAGAGCAGAACAGCCCAGCTGAGTGTAGCGCATTGTGCATTTTCAGCAGCTTCTTGCCCTTGGACTTCACTCCCTGCCGCTGAGCAGAGGATGCCAGTGCAACCCGGCCGTGGAGCTCGCGCAAAAAAAGAACAACTCCCTGCCTCTAACATTCCTGGCTCTGGCAGAACGAAGCGTTGCTTGTCGTTTGTCAGGCTCAGGTACGACCTCAAAGAAGGCAACATGAAGGCGACTGGCTGCTGCAATGACTGGCAATGTATGCCTACAAAGTGTGTCTATCGCCATCTCGGAGACAGATGCACACCCTCTTGCTTGCAAGCATGCACAAGCCCTGGTGGGGAAGGGCTGGATACTCAGGGGCGTGGCTTGGCTTCGGGGCAGCGTCGCACGAAGTCGGTGATGTTGCCCTTGTATGTCTTCAACCTCAGGATCCCGCTGACACATCCCGGTGATGATGCTGGTGAATCTCGAATACTATGTAGTGGAACGACCACTCCGAATACTTCCAGCGCACACCTGCGAGACAAAACTCTGCCTGGCTGCGAGGCTCCGGCTTCCTTTGCTTCACGTTGATGACGTGCGTGCACACCTTGTCCAGGAAGGACGTGTCGTGCGACACCACAACCGTCGTCACTGGCCGGCTGCTGTCTCTGCTGAGGCTGAGCCTTAGTCGCTGGCGAACAACTCTCTGGGCCAAAGAGGCCAAGCCAGCATAACATAGCATAACTGCTGATAGCTTACCGAGACATGTGGCTTGAAAATTAATCAATTAAGCATGGCAACAGCAAGCCCGCACGCGCACAACTTTCCGCGTCACGCGCAGGCACACATTGCTGAATGGCCAGGCAGGCCGTGCCGCTCAGTCACATCCCCCTACGGCGCACCATGGGTGCCCGAAAGATCTTGCGAAGCGGAGGGGGCCAGAAATAACCGAGAAAAAAAACACAACCAAGAAAACAGATGTCACAGCTCAAGCTCACAGGCACTGAGCTAATCAGCTGACACACCTGCACGGACTGCTGCTGCTGCTGCTGTTGCTGCTGCTGCTCAATGTCACGAGTCACGAGCGCTGAGCTATACCACTAACACACACACACACATGTACAGCGAGGCACCGTAAATGATGTCTGTGCACTTAGCTTATGCGGTACCTCAAACATGCAGACGCTTCCGTCCGGGCCACAAATAGTCCCCCAGCCATGCAACGTTTGCGACATCCAAGTGTCCTCTCGGCAGACTTCACTTCAGGTTCCTAAAGGCACTCGGAACTCGTAGACATGTGGTCAAAGATGCATCGCAAACGAGAGGAATGCTGCCTTTGCATGAGGCATTCAGGCGAACTTTTACACGCCTTGCTGCCTTGCTCCAAGACTTAAACGCTGAATTAGCGGCTTCCAGCACCCAGAATAGTCGCCAGGCGGAACGTCCTGTCGGCTCATCTAAGAGCAAGATGTCTGCGCACATCAGCATGGCTCTGACGAGCCCAAGCCTCGGATGAAGACATCTCGGCACCGTTTGCGTCGCTTCACCGCAATCATCACACACACAAAGAAACCAGGAACAGGAGAGGCAAGGAGTCATGACGAGGGACTTCATCTTCCATCCGCCGGAGAGATGCCCAATCCTTCCAAAGCCGCCCGCACGGCCCCAAAATATTCCCTCGCAGCCGTGACCTTCCGCTAGCTCATGCACCGAGGAGTTGACTCGCTTTTGAGCTTCTGGTCATCAAACCCGATGCTGCGCAAAGCGGCAACCACCTAACCATGCATGTGAGGAGACAGGGGAAGCCCTGCCGAACCATGTCAGATCAGGGCAAGTCACTTAGAATTCTCGAGCTCTTATACAGACGAAACAAACATGCCAGGCCGAGAATGGTTTCAGTCGGCCGAAGCTCCCCCAACCCACACATGCCAACACCCATGTGCTGAGTGCACAGCCTTCTTTTTCCTTGGCTCATGGATTCGCAGGCAGCAGCATGAAGATGTTGGCAAACTCTGGGCATGCATGTGCCAAGGCTCGTCACTCCCATTGCTTGGATGGTTTCGTCGGCGAAGATGTACTCAAGAGGTGTCCACCTGGTCGGTGGACTTGCCAGTATTGAACAGCACTGATCTGCGGACGCTTGCATCTCTTTCGACTGAGGCGTGAGCTCACACTCCGGCTCTTTCTCACCAATGCCATGCTCCACAAAAGCTGTCACCAGCTCACTCTTTGGAGGAAAGCCGTCCACCTGTGCAATCGAGAAGGTGCGCATGTGTGTATCGCAGGTGCGCCTGTCCGTGAAGGCCTGCTCGTTGTTGATGGCTCTTAGAAGAGTGCTCTTTCCACAGTCGTTGGGACCTCGCGGGACCGCTTGGATGCGCGAACGCGCTTTGGGAGGGAGGAGCTGAGCCACTGACCGCAGAGCCCGTAGCACTTCCCGCGCTTCAGGTGCAGCCTGGCACAGCCAGGGCTGGGCGTGCCACTGGCCACGAATGCCCATGTCAATTTATCAAGGCCTGGTGTTGTTGAGAAGTGTCAGGGCCTTACGAAGCGCCAAGAGCCCAAAAAGCACGGCACGGCGTCTCTGCGAGGAACGCACACCGTAGCCGAGAGTGAACACGCAGTTGCACAAGTCTTCGCCTCAGCGGCCCCCATATGGACGTCTTCATAAGAAATTTCGTACTCCATTACCGTTTAGGGTATAGGTAGTATAGGGTTTAGGGTTTAGTGCCATTTCAGTCTGACAAGTCCGATTCGAGTTTTGTCAACTGGCCTTCTTCATCAAGATCTTCAACCTTGGTTTGTCGCTACGCACACGCTTCAGATGCTCATGCACCGATCTGGACATTGCTGGGCTCTTGAGGCTAAGGCATCATCACCCTCGGCCGCATCGTAGCAACTCTCCAAAAGGTCCGGCCTGAGGCGTGTTAAGGCTTACTTGCACGATGACCATTGACGCACAGAGATGCACAAAGACAGTTGAGCTCTCCAACACGCAAAACCAGCGGCACACTTGTCAGGCTTTCGTGCATGAAGCGGTCCAAGAACAGTGCTTTAATACCACCACTCTATGTCTTCAGGAATCGTCGTTTCTTCGGGATTGATGGCCTTGTTTCTGTTTCAATGCTTTTGGGACTGAGCAAGCACTTTCAGCGTAGCGATTTGCCCTAAGTTCTAGATCAAGCTTTGCGGAGAGAACAGTCGGGCAGGGCCAAGAAAGGTTCCTCACGGGACTGGAAGCCCATACATGTAGCCCAGTCTACGAGGCTTCCGTGCTGCATCTTGATCTGATGCCGTGAACTCTTTGCGCGCGCATCTCGAGGTCAGATCCCAACAAGGCTGGAGTCTCGAGATAGCTTTCTTGGCCGAGGCAGACAGTCCAAATGCACTCGAAGACCCTAATCACTAACAACAAGCCCGGGTTCCGTGTATCGTGACGTCGCAGCTTAACACTCCCGCAACACGAGCGAGATGTCTCTCCGAGGGCAAGTACTCTCTCGGCTTCTTGGCTCGAGCATGCTGCAACGTGTCGCTAAGACTGCGACACCAGGTCTTCACAGTCTTCCACTGAAAGAATCGACGGAGAGAGGTACGGCCTGAATACATCTCAGTCTGTCCAGATGAGGCAGATCGAGTTGGACGCTGCTTTGTCCGATTCAATACCGTACATGACAGCGCACCGTGACATTTTTCGCTGCATAAGCGCGGCGCGCGATGCATTGCCACCACTCTGCGTACTCAAAGCTTCGACATGCCTCAGCACAGGTGTTGATTCGAAACGTTGTCTTGACCGTCATAACATGTCATCAACTGCCCCAGGCCCGCAGCACTGATGCAGGTGCAAAGCGAGGCCACGTAATCAGCGACCAGCTCGCTCACCTCATCTCAGTAGGAAGTCACACATACTCCGGTGTAAGCTGTTCTGCATGGATCTTCGTGCAATCTGTACGAGAATATTCAAGACTGTCTTACCGGTGTCCGGTGTAGCACGCATGAGGAACCTGCCCCTGCCTCCCCTGCCTCCCTGGCATCAAAGCACCCTAGGCACAGTTTGCCTCTCCCACACCTGCTGTTTCAACTGCTGTCGCATTCGGCCCACCATGCTGTCGGATCTGCATGACGATGTACCTGGTGAGCCTCTGATCTCGGCTGCCCCGAGGCCCCAGGACATGGCATCGCACGCGCGCGCTGAAAGTTTCTGAGGTGGTAATGAAAGTTGCATGTCCTCCGGTCGGCCCATTCTTGGCGACAGCACAAGACTGATGCAATCGACAACTCTGCCCTCTATGCGCCATGCCAACTGCGTCTTCTCGTCGGGGATCTTCTCTTGCAGGAGGTTCAGCACCTCTGAAATGTAGACTGGCGAGGTTACTTCACTGTGCATGCACAGTATCAGATCAGTACTGTGAGGGGTTAACAAAAAGCTTGTCTTGGGCATGTGCCGCGGTCTTGCTGATGAAGCGGCGCCTGTCTGCCTCCACGGAACGGAGATGCATCGAAAGGCAATGGCTTGAAGCTGAAATCGCACCTTGTCTGCGGTCTGGAGTGTTCGATAGCACCGGGTTGCAACGTTTCGCACCTGAGCACTGTGGACCGTTCCCCCTTTTTCTCTCTCCGCCGTAAAGCCTTCTCACACCAAGCCACAAACAAGGCTTTGTAGCAGGCAACACAAGAGGCATCCGGCCGGCCTCCGGGTCGGAGATGCTGTGCGTTGATTTCTCCACCAGCGGGATGAGCCTGAAAAGGGCGAGAGACTCGTGTGGCGCTGGGGGGCGCTGGGAGGTCACAGCCAGCACAGCCAGGACTGGGGCGTCGGGAGGAATGGTTGGATCTCGGTCACGTCCGGCACAAGCTTGCACATGTTGTCCGCAATCACCAGGGCACGCCGCTTTGTCCTCTTAGCTGGCTGAGCAAAGACAATCCCCACTGGAGCATGTCAGACTCTGTCAGACTCGTGTTCGTCACGATTCAATGCATGGTGTGCTTGTCATCTTTCGCTCTCACCGGCCTCTCATCCCGGTCTTTGAGGCCGCGTACGATCAGCGGCATGACGATCGCCAGCGCGGGAGTCTCAACCTCGAGCCGAAGCTCTTTGATCAGCGTGATTGCAATGACAGTCTTAAAGCTACTGCCTAGACTTAGACAAATTCCGCGGCTCCCTAGGGCATGGCGGACTGTACGAAGACGATCTCGGACAGCTGGCTGACCTAGCAGGTTTACAAACATGACATTCGCAACATGCAGATATAGGCAGATGCGCCGTGTGCTGGCTCGACCACTTGCCAACATCTCTCTCACTGAATGTACAAGGTTCCTGCTACACGAGGAATGAACTCCTGGTCCATCATTGCCTTCCAGGCCCCGGGTGAACGGCCGGAGCAGCGATTGCTCGGGCAGCTCTTGCCTTGATGATCTCGTCCAGGTACGGATCCAGATCCTGTCAGGATGCTTCCTGTGACAAGCCCAAGGAAGGCGCCTGGCCCAAGAACTGAAACAGGCCCTGAACCTAAAGCTACCGTGACCCACTGGAGGATCTCCTGTCACAAAGATCCTGGCCTGCTGTGAACCTCACAACTTCGTAAAGCCTGTCTCGTCTCGACACCCGGCTTCTGCACCCCAGCTGGGTGGGTGCCGGTGTCAGGCGGGAATTATCAAGGCCGGTGAGGCCGACAGGTAAACGGGTGCTTTGTTCGCATCTGTAGCCTTCGTTCCCGGAACGACATTATCGACTCTCTTGCTCCGTTGCTCGTTCCATGGGGCCTCGGTTCATTCGTCATCGAATTCTGAAACTTTGAGGCTCAAGCACTTCTGTCACGGAAGGCGAGTAGACAACGCATGATCGTTTGGATCGGAGAGCATGAGGCATTACATGAACCGCCTGAAGCAAGCTCGAAGACAGCATGCGACCCTGGTGTCCCGCCTTGTTCTGTGCACATTCAAAGAGAACCTTTGCGGCATCTGCAGCCTCAAAACATCGCGGCAGGCAGGAACAGTCTGATGCAACAAAAACCGACATGAGACCCGTGGTGTTCTTGCGCATTCGCTGTCCCGGAAAATCACAAATTAAGCAGAGCACCGTTTGGCGCACCTCGCGCTTCACCTGAACCCAGCACTCGCCGGATGATCTCGAAGCTACTTTTCATTGGCGAGTTTGAAATCAGCCGCCGGCGTCGTTCAGCATCTCAGCAATGTGCGGCATCACTCGATCCTAAGAGATCCATTGCCATGTGAAAGCTTCGTGGTCTCGCAAGCACCCAAAGCCACTGCCACTCAGCACATGAGCTTGCCACGAGCTGGCACGCGAGAGGCTTGATCGTGTCCTCAGAAGCAACTCCATGAGTCTGTTCAGAGTCACGGACGTCATTTCCCACCATCACAAGCACGCCTCGTCCCGCATCAATGCCAGGAGGCGAAGTGCACCAACCTCCAGAACGTAGTCTATCGGGCAAGAATTATGGTTTACGCACATTTCGGTGCACAAGAAGACTCAAGTCCATGCCTTGACTTCAGTCTTCTCCTTCTGCTTCAGGCCCTTGGGCGGTTTTCAGGTTACCTATCACCCGAGCCTTCAACCCTCGTAGTAGTTCGTAGTGTAAGCCGCAGACTCCAAGCACTGCTGGGAGCGCCGTCTCCACACCTGGGTCAATGCTCAAATGCTTATTTGAAGATGTCATACTTCATCCATAAGAGAGAGCCCTCTAGTTTACTCCATGTCAAATGATGCCAGCGAAGACAAGCCATGCTTTCTCAACGCCATTCACTCCTGCTGATCACGGGTTTCAGCAGCGCTAGACTTCCAACTGAGGATCTGGTTGGGAAGCTGCTGCCAGACGCTGCCTTTCAGTGTCTGTCCACTTCGTCCAGCAGCTCCACAACTCAGGCATCCCCCAGAGCGTATGGTACGGCCCGGAAAGGCCAACTCCATCTTGGACTGCCCACCGGGTGGCAAAGATCCGTCACGTTTGTCTGCTCATCTGCCTTTGGCAGGACGGCAGAGCTTCGAGTCTGCTGGGCCTGACTCGATACACATCACAGACATGTCTTGCAGCTTGAGAGGTTGAAATTTCGAGGTCATGCCCGAGCATCTAAAGTCTGGAAATTCACGTCGCTGAACAGAGCCACGTCTCAGGAGCCCTTGGGGCGCGAGCTACTCTGGCCACCCCTCTGGTCAACGGAGGGCTACAGTATGCTTTCTAGAGCAATCGATGAAAATATGGGTAGTTCTCTTAAATCAGGGTCCCTTTTTAAGGTCATGTGCATAAAGGTGCCGTACTAGATTTGGGAGCTAAAAGAGGGACCCTAATTTAGAGAACTACCCGTGTCCGTTTGGCCGCGTCCGGGGACGCGCTCCGCGGACGCCGACCTCACTCGCGGCGGTTCAACTCGTCGAGGCCGAGGATGCCAGGGGGGATCCTCCCAGGGTTTAGGGTTTAAGGTTTAGGGCTTAGGATTTAGGTGGGTTTAGGGTTTAGGGCAGCAAAAAATCGCAAAATCTGCTGCTGCTGGGCTAGCAGTTGCTCCAAGGCTTAGGCCATCAGCTCTCTGAGTCTTCGGCTGCGCTTGAACCCTCATGCCCCCGCTGGTTGTGAGGGCGAGGTCTTGCATCTCCGTTCTTTAAGTAGGGCCCCAAAAAAGCACAT